ATGCGTCGACTGAATAAACGTCCACGGGTAATAGAAAATAACTTTGTAAAAAACAAACAAACAAGTAAATGCACTTAAGCAGCTTCTCCGACTGATTTGCTAAAACATATTCACATCTCATGTTGCAGTCAGCGTGTTGTGTCACTGTTTATGGATTTCTGTTGGCTCAGATGCACCATTTAAATGATCCATTCGTGGTGACGGTTTAGTAGCCGATGCTGACCGAACCCTTATTGGCCGATTATCTCAAAACATCATTGAACTTGCTCGATTAATCAAATCGGTTTTGTCTCTAGTTGCAGCCTTCCCAATGAGAAGATCACCTGCGTTTGTTTTGGCAAAAGAATTCATGTGGAAATAATGTTTGCGAACTATATTTTGTAAACTTTTTTCTAAACATTTGGTGGATTTAAGAACATCTGTTTAATGAGACAGATGTGGAGGAGAGGATGTTCAAAAAGCTTCAAAAAGACTCCCACACACTGTCGAACTTGCAACAACACATTCATTCGCATTTTTTTGTTTGTTCGTTTTTGTTTTTACTGCTGCAGCTTGTGCAACTGTTTACTGTCTTCGCTTATGTGTTTCAATTCCAAACGTCGTTGTACTGATTTACAGTATTAAATAACATACGTAAATACACCATATAATGGGATAAATTATTCGACCTATCACATACATGTTTTTTTGGGACTGTGCTTTTGGTTTTAAGCGATCACATTATAGTGTTTTAGTTATTAAATCTGAACCATTTTGTGATGTTTTTATGATTGTTACCAGGGTTTTCTCACATTGGTATTTGATTTACGGTATATTTTTGAGAAGTAAACCCTTTAGTGTTCATTATGCAATAGCTTTAAAACACAGTGAAGCGTTTTCACATCAAAAACGCGACACCACAGTTTAAATTCTGCGTCCGAAGTTCTGCATAGCATCTTCCCTAAACTGCAGTCTTTGCTGTTTGCTAATTGCATTGCTTGAAAATTGTTTAATTGCTCAACCTAATTGCTACTATACTGAGTGTTTTCTAACTTTTGGTATGTTATTGTGAATCGGTAGGCTGATTTTCAGCTTATCGTACGTGGGGGAACGTGATTGGTTGCTGAGTTGGAGCCGCTTCCTACTTAAGATGGATTTCCACTTATTAGGGAAACGCTGTATATAAATGTATTTTTTTTGCAAGTAAGACAGCGTGCAGGAATCTGTTTGACACTTTATAACAATTAATTAGTTAATTTAAGCAGCGCAGCAGATAAATTCATAACGGTTTGTGCTCGTGTGCCTCATATAGGCACACAGTAAAGCAAAAAAAACTAATTCCCGATTAGCGAGAACATCCTTCATGTTTGCTCGTATTTGCAGATTCATAGGTGTGCATATGTGCTCAGCAGTAATTACACCGTTGTGCGTGTTTGTTTTGAAGTGCGACGTTCCACACTTACAGTATGTGGTCCATATGCAGGGATGTTGCGTGCGATCTAAAAAAAAAAAAAAAAAAAAAAAAATCCCCTCCCCAGCCAGCCTCGACAACAAACACAGAATGGCTTGGCACGACTCAAAAATTATTTATCTGGCTCCCCCTTCTCTTCTCCAGCATGGTTTTTGTCAAGTCAGAGGAAACCATCTGCTGCCCGGTGATAATGGGCGGCCAGGGAGGAGGGGACTGGAAATAGGGAGAGCAAATAAAAAATGGAGAGAAAATGGCAGCCGCCGTCCCAGAACCTACAGTACCTTCCTGCCTGCCTGCAGCAAAAGTCTGCCATCTTAATAAACATCCCGTCTGATATCTCCCCGTGTGTGTGTGTGTGTGTGTACATGTATTTTCACCTGCTGTGTGCGTACTGTGTTTCCAGTGTGTATGTGTTTCCTATCTAACCTTGATCATTTTCAAGTCAGGATTGTTCCCGAGCCTGGCTGATACGCTGTCAATGTGATGGCGCTGACTAAGAACCTTTTTTTTTTTTTTTTACCTCCTCTTCTCTTTTTTACCTGCTGCACTAAAACTGTGACAGATGGATTGCCTTTCAGCGGCAGAGATCGTTTCTGTTTTCCTCCTCTGTTTTGGGTAAATGGGTGGGAGTATTAATGAGAGAGTGTTATGAGGCAGGTGCAGGGCTAAAGGAAAAAAAAGTAAGGGGAGTCAATGCCGCGAGTTAATGAGGAGTTGCCCGTATAGAGGGGAAGGTAAAGCCCGGCTTGAGAGGAATACAGTAAAGCACGCCAAGCGGAGGAGGAACAACGCTCATTAAAACAAATAGTGGGCTATAGAGAAGCGGCTCCTCACCTTGAAAATGGTCCGAATTTTCTCTCTCCTCCCCGACTCTCCGGGGCTCTCAGATGGAATTGAGCGCTTAGGGCATTCTCTGAGTAAACCATTTCAGTTTTCTCTTGTCTGAAGTCGACAGGTTGAGCCGGACAAAAAGACCTGACAGCCTGTCTCCCCCCCTCTAAACCCGGCTTCATTCTCCATCACTCTGTTTTCTACTTTGCCTTGAGATGTTTCCTTTTTGCTGTTGCTTTTTTTTTTCTTCTTCTTCTCCCCCTTCCCCAGTTTGCCCCCCAGCACTTACAAAACTGTCAGATAACTTTCCGTATAGATTTATCAAGCAAGTGACACTCATTGAAGTTGTCTGCTGTTATAAAGCTGTTTATTGGACAGCAGACGTTGTGATCCATCAGTTCTGGGTAATGGGGATTGACGGATGTGGGTGTTTTCTGGGCCGATATTAGAAGTGATACGTGGGACCGATATACACATTCTTTGTTTTATTTTAACAGCATCTGATAACAGGGAAAATCCTATCCATAACTAGGCTTCTTCTTTAATAAGGTGA